ACAAACGGTCTTATAAATAGCTTCAGAGCCTTATTGGAATATGGATGATTGTTCAAAAAGAAAGTGTTAATCATTCTTTTGTAAAATTAAAAAAATAAGTGTTCCAAGTGCAGTTCATCTTCAAGCTTCTCACAATAGCGTCTCACACAAACAAGGATGGTTGTAGAATATTTGTTATGGTTTTCTTTATTATTGTTGGAAATTGATTTAGGGGAGCGAAGCGAAGCTCTTCGGGATCGACTTCAATGCAAATTTTCTAACACTTTAACTCAATAATGGATTAACATATTATAGCCAAACTTATCAAGGTTGTTTTGACAAATGTTTGAAAGGTTTAGATGAAACCAATTTCATTTTTTGATAATGCCTAAATAATTTAAAAGGTAATTCAAAGTTTTTAAATTTTAACATAGGCCTTAAGGGTTGCCATGATGGTAAAAAAATAAGGATGTAAATGTAAAAATCCAAAGAATCATAGCATATATTAAAATCAAACCACAACCTAAACACAGTACAAAAAAAAATCCGGATGATGACCACTGATCAAATAATACAGAGAAAGTCATTTAATTCACAATTTGGAAACGACCACTGATCGAATTGGTACAGTATTTTACAGATTTGATTTACGTAGCTAAATAAGGTTGAACAAATAAAATTTTTCTCATTGAGTAGAGCAAAGGGAAGATCTTTGGGATTGATTTCAATGCAAACTTTCTAACACTTTTTTGATTAGACCCTTTCTCTACACTTGACAAAGTCCCTCAGGGGACGAAATATTGTGTGCACAGTGCACAGAGTATCTTCTAGATGTTCTATGGCCTACCTACACTTTCAAGGTAAGCTACCTCCTATCCTCCTTTTTCTACAATATACAGGGTGTTCCATAACTCTCTGGACACATGTATATAGCGTTATTGCTTTGGTCGAGACAAACACATTTCACCATAGGAACATAGGTCTGTGGTGCCTAGTTTACCGTCTGTCTGTATTTATGTGTTTTTTTAAACAAAATTAATAACTCCTAAACGGTTTGAGATACAGCCTTGAGATTTTACCAAAATGTTTATCTCATTAAGACGTATTTTGGTTTAAAATTATACTATAAAATCATTAACCGTTTCCAATCGGCGGACATTTAAAATATTTTATGCCAAATTTCAAAAAAACCGTTAACTTGACAAAAAAATTTCATGAGTTAAACAAGTTAGTAAATTTTTTGTAGTTTTTAATGATACCTTATTTGTTAAGAATGGATAAATAATAACAGAGAAATGTGTTCTTTTCGTAATGCATGACCACTTTTCTCTATTTAAACAATGCTAATACTCCTTTTAAATTGTCTAAATATCTTTACAATCATCTGTTACATGTCAATCAGGAGTTTTAAAACATAACAGCTGATTGAATTATTTTTTTATTTTTTTTTTTATTTTTATAAAAGTATTGTTGTCTGAACATTACTGCAAGTCCCTACTATAGTTCGGCCGCTTAGAAAACGACCTGCGCGCTAATGCTAAACCAATGCTGGAGGAGGTCGCTTTCTAAGCGGCCGAACTATAGTTGCTTACGATTCTTAAAACCTAGTTAAAGTCATTATTTATTGTGTTTTTATGTTATTAAGTTGGTTGTTTAGTACTTAATGTGACTTAATTAATGTGGCGATAATTTTTTTTTTCATTCTGTTTGAACACAATTTGTTAAGTTTTATTATTAGGAAGTATATGGACTTTATCCTAGGAGAGCATAATAGGCTGCTATGATAATATTTTCCAATGTCGGATACAAGTGGAAGCTCGAGCTTTTTGAATCAGTCATTCACACTATTTATTTAAATACTTCTGTCACAGTTCCTAAAGTAATTCAAGGTTTTAAAATTTTAAAATCTGCGATGGTAACATTTAAATAGCAAACACTGTCAACAGGGCCGGATTTAGCATTTTGGCGCCCCTAGGCCCAAATAATTTTTCCGCCCCCTAGTCTGGTCACAGTTTCTTTCCTACAAACCTTTATTAAAAACTATATCATGCCTATAGGCCTATGTTAATTGCTTGAACACCACTCCTCTTCGGAATTTTATCATTGCAAGTTTTTTTAAGAATTGTCTTGGTTAGCCTTAACAAAATGCCGTCTTAAACACTTTTGTCAATGTTATGCTTTTGTTGGCAAATGCTCACGCTTGTGGGACTGAAACAAAACAATCCAACCCATAGAGCATTCCCGCAAAAAAGCATATTCATTGACTCCGATTTCAGGCCCCAAAACATGAACTTTATAACAGTACGTGATACCATGGATTAAACATACTCCTTTAGTAGATTTGTCATCCTTAGGGATTACCGTAGCTGAAAACAATTCTTTTTTATTTAAGTTATTTAAACCTAGTTTGTCCAAAAAACGATGTAATCATAAACAATAGGTCGTCCCCTGGTTATATTACAAGAAATTAAAACACACAACATAGAACTATCCTCAAAAAAAAGTACCTAGAAACAAAATTACGTCAAAAGTAACTTCCAGTGTCACCAACATATATGAACTAGACATGAAAAACAATATTTAGAATTAACAATGTGTGCTTGAGTTTATGGTTAATCTATGGTAGTACAGTACTGCATCCAGATTATATTTGCAAATCAAAACAAAGCAATAGTCCCGCCGACCATAATAATTATCCTCAGGTCTTAGCTGAGAATAAAATGACACCATTAATGGTGCTTTGGAGGGGATTTAATTTTTCTAAAACCTGTTGTAAACTCAGAAAAATATTTTTTCGTTATTGAATTTTAAAGATTATCTTATCGTATTTTTAATATTCAACAAAACGTATTATATAGGTATTTTAACTTGACCCTGCAGGTAAACTGATCAAAAGTTAATATATTTTCTTTTTGTGAGGTGAGGGTGGTAATGGCATCTAACACGCATGCGCCCCTAATCACTCCGATCAGTAGCTCCGAGCACAGAAAACGTACTACTATAACCCAGAATGCCAACCGCATGGTAAAAAGCATTAAGCGGTTTGAGAGAGCTTTGCCTGTCAATCCGTAGGCAGCGCCACCAGTGTTGCCATGCAATAGCATAGCAACGCTGGTGGCGCTGCCTACGGATTGACAGGCAAAGCTCTCTCAGTCTCAAAACACTTAATGCTTTTTACCATGCGGTTGGCATTCTGGGTTATAGTAGTAGCTATCTACGTTTTCTGTGCTCCGAGCCAGCATAGATAGCGGCAGTGCAAAGATTACAGTGGCAATACGATGCGTACCGCTCGGGCGCTCGACAACATCCCTACACCCTACTCCTGTATAACCAATGTTCGTTACCAATGTTGTAACAAAATTGATGCGTAATGTTGAAAAATAGTTTAAAGTTCTAACAGTTATTTCTTCCAATGAATTTCAAAATTATAATGCCTTATTGGCAAGAGTTATTTTTTATCAAAATATGTTAAGCTATGGCTATTTATTTTATTTTTAGATATTAAAAAATATTTTTCCTCTCGGCCGTGCGCCCTCTGGGAGCTTGCGCCCATAGGCCCGGGCCTACCGGGCCTATTGGGAAATCCGGCCCTGACTGTCAATCAGTTGAGATACAAATAGAACTCTGACATGATAACAAGATCATCACAGTTCACCCTACTTGATATAGAAGTGGGGAAAAAATCTTTCTCCGCTTGATGACCCTGATAAGATTTTCTTTGTTCATTAGAGAAAAATTACTGTAACTTTCCATCATTAATTTAAAATATTGATTATTTTGAATCTTTGTTTTAATTTTACTTTTATTTTACTGGTATCAGAGCCAATGTTCAGCTCTTTGGGATCATTGTTCTACACAATAAAAACAAAAAACTAAAAAAAAACTAAAAAAAATAATAATTATGCTTTGGGGTAGTTAGTAGGATTTGGATAAAAAATTTATATCTTGAATAATATTCAATGTAAACTGAATAACCAGTTATAAAGATCATAAACCAATTTGTTAATGTCTTTTAGCAGGAGTCATGCTCTGTTTAAAATTCAAGCATCATAATCGGTATTAACTCAATGAGAGTAAAGTTTATGAAAAATCACAAAAGGACAATGAAGAAATATTATGTCTTTATTTGTTTGCAAATTCTGTGAACTTGGAGTTTTTTTATAAATTATTTTACAGGAAGGTAAATAAAATAACAGGTTTTGAAGTCCTTGTAGTGAAGGTCAAAGACCTAGGAAATGAACCGGTAAATGTCGGAAAAGAAACCAGTCATGGGGGATAGGCCCTCATACTATGGCAATGTGAATCCAATAAGATAATCTCTCTTCTTTTAACTACGGTACATAATTTATATAATGACAACAGTTCAGTTTTCTTTGAGAAAAATTTCCTAATAAAAAATTTATAGGCAAAGGTAGCCTATTATTACTGATTTTATAAATTGTGTAAGAATGAAATGAGTGGTATTAATAAATATTAACTAAAGATTTTGTATAAACATGAATAATGGACACACAAACCCATAGAAAATTATATTTAATTAAAAATTACTTAGGACTGTGTCCTAAAAATAGTATTTTTTTTTAAATAATTTAAAAAATTATTTATGATTGATAAACTAGTAATTTTAATGATTCTTAACTTTATATGAGTTTTTCTACAAACCAGTTTATTTTAATTTAAGTTTTAATTTGAGTTACAATCATCGGTGGTTTGTGCCTACTTGCTAGGCTACAGTAGATAGAATTTCTATAGGCCTAACTGCTGTTGAAGAAGACTGTGGTTAGAAGACCTTCTAACGGTTGGTAGGCCAACCAGGAAAAAAGTGACAAATAACTAAACATTTTATTGTACTTTAAAAAATTAACATAAATCTAAGTGCCACAGTTCAACTAGCCTTGATTTTAAAGAAACGCAGGTCATTAGGATGTGTCATATATCTGAAGTTTACACTCTTCACTTAAGCCTAAAGAGATTGTTTGAGAAATTGAATAGACATGCATAATAAAGGATTTAATACTCACTTCATATTTGTGCAGAGCTTCGCTAAGAAGGTTTTTGTTGACGTCCACAAGAAGTGTGCAATGGTGATAGGAGTTTGGTCGGCCTAACTTTGATGCCGTTCCTGAGATCTACAACACAAAAAACTACATATGAAAAATAGGAAAAAGCCAGAACCTTTGCTAGGCCTAAATTAAAATTCTTCCTTTAACATTTATTTGTGTAGTCGAAACAACAACATGTTAACAACATGTATATTTTTAGTGACAAAAGTCTCTGTCTAATATTCTTTATTTAGTTTATAATCACTGTGTGTAGCCAATGTTTTTTTTGGAATAAACTATATTCATTCATTCATAACACAGTGTTATATTAGGCCTAGCTTAGTTTGTGAAAAAAACAATTGTTGGATAAGAATTTTTTCCCAATTCAAATCCTAATCAAAAATATTATACCTTAGTGGCACAATGTAAAATTGTGATTTTTCTTGCAATAAATTATTTGTTTGTTTTGATGGTTTGATGTTGTAGACCGAAACTTACCAGTAAGTTACTGCCTAATTTTAACAGAAAGGAAAACTTATCACATCTCCGTGAAACCCCAGGAAGACATTTGTTCAAAACTGTCTCACAAAATACGACACCTCATCAATATGAAAACACATCGATGCGCTCTATGCAGTTTAACTTTAAACCATTAAGTTATCCATTTAGTCATTTAATGATAACACTGCAAGAGAAGATTAACTGTAGGGGTTAAAAGGTGTATTTTTCTGTCACAAGCCATATGTTTACCAATAAATACACTAGGTAGCAATAAAAAATCAATCAGATTTAAAATCTATTGTTTATGATTCATTCGACACATTTCATTAGTTGCCAAATAGGCCTAAACTTAAAAAAACAAATTATGATTAAGTACAGTTACACTTCTAAACTGAATGGCTTCAAATGTTCAAAGACTTGGCATGACTTACTTTGGCCTAGAATATGCTACGTAATCAAATTAAATTGTTAACAGCCTTAGATCAGAGTTTAATACTTTCAAAACATAACTTACCTTGTACATATCATTGATGACGATGTCTTCCTTTTTGTTTATTTCAGTTTTTAATCCCCATTCTCTATGAAGAGCAGTGCTTATGATTTCTAAATTTTGACGTCGATTATATCTTGGTCTTGGAGTGAAAAATGTAAGGTTTAAATTTCCAGCATCGTGGTAAACCGTACCCCCGCCACTCTCCCTTCTTGCTAATTGTATTCCTTGATCTGCTAATAAGCCACAATTGGCTTCAAGCCATGGGTTCTGATTCCTACCGACAACCACACTAGGAGAGTTCCTCCATAGAAGCATAACATGATGGTTGGTAAAGTCAAAGTTTTTATACATCCAATCTTCTAAAGCGAGATTTGTAAATATATCATCTGACTGCGAGATAAAAACTGACTTCTGTATTTTAGATTCGTCATTATGGACTTCACCCCGTTTGTGGTTTTTTAATTCACTAGATGAATAACGTACTTGTGACTTGCTCGTCACTGCAAAAGTGAAACGAGCATTCACAACAGACTTTAATGCACAGCACATCTTGCCGTGGTTGATAACTCGAACGAATACACTGGCCATATTGCAATATAAGACTAAGTTATATGCAGGCCTTGAAAGTAAAACACGCTCAACTAAAGTTGGCACTTGATAAAAATGTTCACAATAAAATTAAGTTAATGAAAGTAACTATTTATGAGTAAATGTCCGTTGTTCACAATACACATACACTTACAAATATTCAAAAGTTTTCAAACTCTCTGTCAATCGAAGCCAGACAGATCATATGATTGTGGATCTGAAGAGTAAGGTGCAGCCACTTCCAGGTGTGATGAAGATTGCAAATACGAGATCGGAGACCTAAGCAATCTTTAGATTCAACTTGCATTCCTCTTGGGAAAGCCAGGTTGTAAAAAATTTAAACTTCCAATGCTAAGTGGGCAATCGATAATAACACTGTTTACAAACCAAAAAATAACTTAAGCAGGGTAAATGTAAAAGACAAATTCACAATAGGCATTAGAGAGGCAAGAACAGACTGTGGAACACCAGATCACACGGGGGTCTTTATCTGTAAAACACTGGCTTAAATAGCCAAGATAATGACTGACCTTGTTGACCAGAAGCCCACAGTGGGGATGGACTCATATCTCAAGTCTCATTAAAGATAAACTTGATGTGATAGTAGTATTCTGGTCTAATTAAACTTGAGGGCAATCACTGTGTATCATGTATCAGTTTAACAGTATGCAAATGCTTAGATATTTATATACTAGCTAGGCCTAAGCCTAATGATTGCTTCAAATGAATCACGTAGTTAGCCTATATAAAAAAAATATGCTTAAATCAAATCAATGTGTTTCCATAGACGAAACAAACAGTTAATTTGTTGCTGTAAAATAAAATTTAATGTTTTTTTCAGGTTTCAAACTTAGTAAGCCTAAGCTAAGTTGAATTATCAAAATGTAATAATACTTACAGAACACTTATTTAGATCTTACATCTGTAACGAATCTTATTGATCTATATTAAACAGGGAACTAAACATAAATCTATATATGTATTCGGTATTGTCAAAAAGCTTGCACAACTAAATGAGGATTTAACAGCAAACAGCATTATTTGGTTCTATAATTTAAAAAAATTACAACAACATCATAACCTAACCTCTAAAAATGAAGGACAACAAAAACAATCAATAAGGTTAGCTAGCAGTCGACAATGACAAATGACGCAAAAAAAGTGTCCAGGTGAGAGATTTTTTTAAACATCAGCTGTTTTCGTTTAGTCAGCTGACAGTTAAAGCATACTTAAGATAAAACACAAAGCTGTTAATGTTATATAGTGTTCTATATAAAAGTACTACAGCTAGGAGTTAAAATTGGCATTGCTTAACGGGTCGGTGAGACAATGTTAGTTCTTTGAAAATGTCTTAAAATAGTTTCACACCTACCATTTAGTTTAGGAACGAAATTGAACTTTATTTAACTATTGAACCGTAATTTTTACGGGAATGGGAGTTCACACCATTTTGTTCAGAATTTAAAGGGCTACAACATACTAAATTATCATCAAAATCATTGCATACTCGTATTAGAGTATAGGATATGGATACATAAAGAAAATACCCCAGCTACTTATTTTTATGTTATTCTTTCAATTTATTACCTTAGCTGTACCCACGGGCTTTGCCCCGTTTTACCCAGACAGCACACTTTATCCCAGGGACATCCCATAGTAGTCCCATATGTCCTGAGAATGTCTCGGGATATGTGCGCTATCCTCAGGATATCCCGCAAAATCCCGGGACGAGTACGAAATCCACAGGATATCCTACAATATACCGTAATGTCCCGGGATTTGTAAGTTAACCTCAGGATATCCTGTAAAGTCCCGGGATATGTACGAATGCCATAGGATATCCCAGAATGTCCCATGACATCCCGGGACATGTACAAAATCCACTAGATATCCTGTAATGTCCCGTAATGTCCCGGTAACAAACTGAAGAAAAAAAATACTATTACTGATGAAATGTACAGTATATCTAAATTTAAATGTTCAACAAGAACAAGGCCAATATATAATCATTTGTTTTTTTACTAGTGCTTTCAGAAACTTGGTTTCCATCTTCAGGCTGTGTTTACACTAGTACAAAAAGTAAATATTTACTTAATAAATTAATTTTAAACAAAGTTAAAACAGATGATTTAAAGGATATTGGAAAAATAAAAAATAATATTAGAAAAATTAATCTTTTGAATTTTGGATACCGGTATGTTACAGTGTTGTTCTTGATGTAATTATTTTCAGTAATTCCGAATTTATAATTGGGCCGTCTTCATTATTTAACAAATAATTTTGGTCTGTTTTTTTTTTTAAATAAGATTCCCACGCATTAAGATGTTGAGGTTTTATAATTTATTTTAAAAGTTTAAGGTTTCCCAGATTGAAAATATGTCTTGTTAATACTATGGCTAGCAAGGGTTGACTTTACTTTACTGACATATTACTACCACTGAGTTCAGGAAAACTAGAGGTCTATCATAGTTGTGTGAAATGTGAATTTAATTCTAACTTTAAATTAATAAAACAACAAAAAACTAATTTTAATCATATAACAATCAATTATTACAGTGCTAATCTAATGGTGATTAAATAATCTATATTCAAATACCAGTATCCTCTCCAACTACCAGAAAAACAATTCAACTACTTGAGGTCTAAACAGATTAACAGAATCATATATAGCCTATACTGTAGTATCAAAAATATTTTAAGTATTGCGACCATTGCAACTGTCGGCTACTCTTTAACCACTTGAAAACACCCATAATCAACAAGCGCGGATAGCTCAGGAGGTAAGGTAAGAGGCTCGCAAGGCGAAGGTACCAGGTTCGAAACCCAAACTTTTTTCTCGTTTTTTTCTTCAAAATTTGTGTTTATTAACTATTTAATCAATTTACTAAACTTATAATTAAGCTTTTCATACTAAATCTATATTATTTTGTGTTTTTTATGTTCAGGCCCAGACCACACTTTATCCCAGGGACATCCCATAGTAGTCCCATATGTCCTGAGAATGTCCTGAGGACTACCCTGGGATGACCTCGGATGTCCCACGGATATGCGTGGGAGCTTATCCGTAGGACATCCCCGGGCGGGGACATTAGGCATTCCTGTGGATATCCTGTGATATCCCAAGTTGACCATAGGACCACTATGGGATATCTTGCATATCCTGTCGCAATATCCGTGGGATGTCCTGAGGAGAAAGTGTGCTGTCTGGGTTACTTCATAAGTGAGCTCGTTCGCATGGCTCAATCACGTCCTGGTTGAAGTTCGTTCGCTACGCTCACTCACCTTTAGAATGGAGCTCGTTCGCTGCGCTCACTTGCCTTCAGGTTAGCTCGTTCGCTACGCTAACTCGCCTCCAAGTTGAAGTTCGTTCGCTACGCTCACTCAGCTGTACCCGCGGGCTTTGCCCCATTTTACTTCATAAGTGAGCTCGTTCGCTGCGCTCACTTGCCTTCAGGTTAGCTCGTTCGCTACGCTAACTCGCCTCCAGGATGAAGTTCGTTCGCTACGCTCACTCACCTTTTGGTTGCAAATTAGCTGTTGTCATAGATTTAAAAAAATAATAGTGCTGCACCCTGTTGGTAATCTTGTAAGTTTTTAATGCTTTTGCATATCATAGAATCAACTTTTTAGTTGAAACAGCTGACTAAATTATTTAATTCCCTTTTAATATGAATACTCATAAGGTTAACATGGGGAACTATAGAGCCACTGGGGCGGAGCCCAAAAGGATTTTTGAGATAAGAATATGCCTATATGTTAATCGGGAATGTGAGCTATCATCATGCCAAATTTCAGCAAAATCCGTCCAGTGGTTAATGCGTTCACTTGTCACAAACATACATCCAAACTTTCTCATTGATAATATTAATAATTAATAATAATAATAATAGTAGGATTAAAATCAGGTGTGATTATTGTTTGTACTGTATTCTGTTTTGTTTATTTCAGTTTAACCATGTTTAACTTAACCAATCAATAGTTTTTACTAATAATTATGAAGTCAAACCCGTGGGTAACAGCATTGACTAACAGTTAGTAAAAAAAAAACATTTTTTAATTTATTTACAACGTAAGAAACGTGTAAGATTTAAAAAAAATTGTTGTGTTGGATTGCCAAGTTAAAATTTTCATCATAGTAGCCTAAATTGAAATTCCACTGAAACTTAAATTATAAAAGCCAAAATTAGTTATAAAGAAAAGGCGAGTTTCCTTTATATTGCTTTTTACAATCATAATAAACATACCTACCGAGCCACAGCTCGGTCCCCCGGTACCTACTGTTAATGTAAAATCACAAAATACACAATCCAAAAACTCATTTGGGGAGTAGTGTGCAACTGATTCATCATATCGGGTGAAAGGAATTTAAAATAAAGAGGAAATTCACAGTTTAGATAAAACAAGTTTATTCTTACAAAAATAAATACATGTATAAAAAAGTCATAGTAAAAATACACTAACTAAGTTTTCACTAGACTGTTTTCTTCAATTTATAAAACCATCTTTAAAGTGTTTTCTATATTAAAATGCAACCAAATTTCACATAATATATACCCAAATTGATGGTTGTCAGCGAAGGTTTTAACAAAATAGGAAGTAAGTCTTTTTTTAGATTTGTTCATAGCTTCTTGCTCTACATTTGTTATTATTACGGTACATGAGATCTTAATCTTTAAACATTTAATACTAAAATGAAAACAATGGAAAGTTATAAAACCAAAAGTCATTTATGATTACAATGAGCAACGATATTTATATAAATGAATTTGTTACTAAATTGTTACAGAGACTTATTTACAAGTTTTCTTATTTTATAATATAGTGGTTTGGTGGTACTGTGAAATGTAAAATGCAGATTGAATCAAATCACAAAAACAATAATTGTAGCATTATATTCCAAACTAACTATAAGTTATAAAAATCTTATATTTAAAAACCGAGCAGGACGGTTTTGTCACTTATTAACATGTCTTTTATGAGTACTGTTCATAACCATTAAAGTTACTGGTAGGAATATACAACTATAATTTGGCAGAATAAAAGATCACTGGTAAATCTCCTTAGTCCCGGGCACCATCCCCAACAGCCAGAACCTTCTTACTGTTCTCAACATATTCCTGAAAAATAAATTTGAATTAGAGCATTAAATGAAATAATTTACATAGGAATCCATATTTGAGGGGATCATCAGTGGAGTAGGATTTAGGGGCCGTTTTTCTAGACTGCTATTTTTTTTTAGAGTCTGAAAAATACTTAAGCGACAAATTAGTTCAAATTTTGGCCACTGAAAGGGAGGGGGGAATTTAAGGTCGAGATGAGAGGAAAGACTATTGTTCTTTGTTTGTTTCAGTTCTGTTGTCAAGTTCTAAATATCAAGAACTGTGTATACATTTTAGTTTAAAATAAACGGAATCAGCAGTCTGACACACTTTATTCTCCCTTGGCTTGTCAACAATTAACCTTATTGTTGGATATTCTACATTTCTTTCATGATTCCTTAGGTACTCTATGTGTAAAAATATTTTTGTTTGAGTTTTTGCCGAATAAATCTCGACACCCAGAAGCATCGGTCCACCCATGTTAATACTCATGTAATAACAGTAATAGATTATGTAAGATATAGTCTGTTACCGGTATGTCATTTATTAAAACCCAATGGGGTCAACAAATTGTTGAGTTAGGTAGTGAGTTTTTACCGTAGTTTAGGTTAACCTGCCATAAAAGAGTGGACATCTTTATCTAATACTCACCATCAGTCCCTTGCTCATAAAGTACGGTTTGCTGATGCCATCGTTCATTTCACAGTCCTCACAGAAGCAGATGAAAATTGTGTCTATCACCATCTGTAACACCATTCATCATTTTTCACCAAAACTAGTAGAATTTTATAGTTTGTATCGCAATTTTGGAAGAAAAAAATCAGCTACCATACAATAAAAGGTATCATATATTTCTGCTTGTTTATGATTTACACATAAAAAAGTTAAGTGAAAATGCTTTTCTTATATTTTTTTACTAGCCCGGTATGTGGTGTTTTACTGTGCGAGCACAGTATAGCTTACCAAGCAATACTTATTACATCATATTTTACTATACAGAAAAATTAGTACATTTAAACCCATAACACAATAGGACACAACATATATAATAATATTTTTACATTTCAAAAATTAAAATAGGCCGTTGCAATTACCTGTTTATTTCATCAGCTGACTAAGTGCACGGTAAAAATCTTTTACTGTGAAGTGCACGGTAATAGTATACAGTATTTCACTACTAGTCATGAAAGTGACCCATTTCGGGGTGAGATAGTGTTTTACATGCGAGTCGAAGACTAGCATGGGAAACACTATCGAGCCCCAAATTGGGACTTTCGTGACGAGTATTGAACGATACTTTTTACCACGATGAAAAAACTACTTCATCAAACTTTAAAAAACATCTGATATTTCGTAATCTATTTATTTTTCTAATCTTAATACAATACAATTAGAGTAAAATTCAGCTGATTGTAACTTTGTTGATGTCAGGCAAAGTATTGTTTGTGTAGCGAAAGTAATGTTTATGTCAGGAAAAGTCAGCTGATCACTATTGGTTTTTGGTGTAAGGAAATTGAAGATTTTCTAAGATCTCAGTTGTATGGAAATGGGCTATTTTCGAATACAGAGTGACGAAAATAAATTTTTTTGTGATGAATGTACATTACGTTACTTTTCCGTGTGTAGGCATGGCAAAGGGCAACTTTCCAGCCTATCAATATGGATGGAAAAGTACCTGTTTCTGTGGAGTATGATGTAATAAGTTAGTAATTTTCATTACTAGTCTTGAAAGTGACTTATTGCGGGGAGAGATTGCATTTACAGGAAAATGCTATAGAGCCCTGCTATGGCACTTTTAAGACAAGTACCTATTAAACATTATTTTTCATTACGATATTGAAAAACTTGTCAACTTAGTATCAAGAAAAACACCGTACTCATAACGTTGAGTTTCCATGCTTATGTCACAGATAACAGCAAATAATGCAACACACCTGGTCGGTCTACACTGCAAAATCCCATAACGGTTACTTTCCGTGCACCACAAATACACAGAAAGTTAACGTTATGTAATTTTGCCATGCAGTAGCGGGAACAACTTATTTTTTTAGCTCATTTTACATTTAGAAAGTGTACTTTAGTGCAGAGTATTGAAAAGGATTTTTTACTATGCTTATAGGCCTTCTACTTAAATTGTCACTAGAACAACTTTATAATTTCAACCAGCCTACAGGATATTTATAATTTATAGCACATATTTATTCATACTACAGTAGAGTCCTGCAAACTCGGCGTAATGTGGACTGGAAGGGTGCCGAGTTTGTGAAATGCCGTGTTATCGGGAACTAGAGGGTTAAAAATAAAAACAATTAAATTTTTAAGCTTTTAACCTCCTTTTTTATTTACATTTATTTTACAAGTCAGTATTAATTCATCAGATATAGTACCTACTACGAATCCTTGGTACGAGATGCGAATGATTTGACTTGAGCTGGCTTGAGCCCATGTTTGAATCATACTTAAAAAATCACTAATTTTCTGAGCCAGGTGATGGCCCAGTTATCCAGACTGCCAGGTTATCGAGTGCCGAGTTTGCAAGACTCTACTGTAGTGTACCTGTTGCTCTAATTCGAGCAATTGCGAAGAATTACAGGCGTTATTTTAAAACGAATAACAGTCATAATTTCCCATGACTTTAAAAGAGTCGACTCAAAGATTTTGGAAATACCTACGAGGTACATAATAGTTTGATATAATCAACATTTCTTGTAAATATATTTTCATCACTCTGCGACGAAAGTTACTATTTTTGATAACAGCTGACATCAATGAAAGTAGTTGTTTCCCAATCTCTAATTATTTAGAGTGAGGGAAAAAAGATCAGCTGATGTCTCTCGCTTTCAATTAGTTCAATTTCCCCTCGTGAGCTAGTGTTTTGTTATGGTTCATTTTAATTATTTAAATCAGCTATTTTTATTGTTGCACATTCTAAATGTATGCAGAGACATGCATTTTTTTTTGTTTTGCTGTGTTTTAGCGTAATGCGTGTTTGAAATTGCTCAAGATTTGTTTAACATTCCTAATCATTTTATGAGCTTCAGAGATAACTAAACACCTTTCAATAGAGAAATTATAAGAAATATATGAAGAGGAATACAGAAAGTTTACAAACTGGTACAACTGACAAAATGTTAAACCAAATAAAGTAAGTGACAAAGTATTTATACTTTTTATCTATAAATGTACACGTTGTGAAGTTGAATTTACTGATAAAGAGCTGTCTAGAATTATTTTAATATTACTGATTTTAATATTCTGTATTTGTGTACATTTGCGTTGTGATGAAAAGTATCGTTCATAACTCCTACCAAAACTTATTCTCTGGCACTTGATCCATTATCCCCGTAAGGGGCGAAGCCTTGAAAAGGGAAATTTTCCTTTTCTGCATTCAGCTAGGCCTCACACATGAAACTTGAGCACATGCCGGAAAATGTCCCTTTCGGTCCCTAGTAATGGAATATAGTATATCATTTTTAAAAAGCTAATCTTGTTTTTTAGTGTTTTCTACAAATGTTTCCCATTCATAGCCGCATTAGGTTGTCCATTATAACGTTTGTAAATTCTAAAAAAACATTATTCCTCTTTCTTCTACTTGGTGGTGTTCTATAACTTTTCTATGTTTCCATAGTTTGCAAATCAGCTCTTCAGTGATTGCTCAAGAAATGCAGAACAGTGTAAATTCAGTTTTCTTTTTAGTATATCAAACTGTCCAGACTTTCTCGCTTTTTTCCATTGTAATATTTACGCCAACCCAAATTCAAATAGTAAATATTTCATTTCAAGCAAGTCAGTAAATGGTTGTAGCACACGTTTCCTTAAATTGCAACTAAAATATTAACAGCAATTAAATTATCTAGCTGATCATAACGTAAACAAATGAAATATGTTCTTCATAAAGGATAACGTGGGAGCTTTAAAGTCACTGAGGCAAGAGCCAAAGGGACTTTTTTCAAAAATGTAAGGTCAGTTTCAAATCTAGGTCTACACACCTAGACGAACATTTTGGTGTGGGGTTCGATCTTAAAACAAAAAAGCCTTATTGTTCACAAAGTTTCAGTCACAAAGTAGTGTATTAATAATAGGGTATAGAAGATTTACCTCATAAACAGTGATGAAACAGTGGGAGACTAAGGCTCCAAACAGCGCAGCGAGTGCAATCGGAACCCACATATGTTGCAAGCCCTCCTTGTGCTGTTAAAAAAAGGATTAACTATAGACAAGGTTAGGACCAATATTACCTACAGACTTAATAAATAAATAAGCTGCTAGTTAAACAAGAATAAAACTTTTCATCTAATATAATGACATCAATTAAAACTTTTACAACTGGATTCAGTAGAAATGATTGGGTGTGTTGCTAGCCTAGAGGTTAGCATCTCGGGCTTCAGTGTAGGAGGGACGTAGGATCCACGTAACAGTTATTTCTCTTGCTGACCTCTCGTGAATTGCCACTAATGTAAAAAAGTATTAAAAATGATAGATGTACAATTAGTTGATTATTGTTGATTAATAATGAGAAAAAAGATTTACTTGGTAATGTCTCATGCATTCTTTGCTGACACCATATTTTTCAAATAATATTTCAAATTTTAAAAATGTTATGACTTTTTAGAACACAGATTAGATAACTGGACTACAATTTTTTAAAAATACAATCATTTTTAGTTTGTCCGTTTTTGTTGATATACTACTAGATAGCCTACCTCAAACATCTTTGTTCCAATGAGGACAGTTGTGAGTACAACAAACACTTTGCCGAGTAACAAGACAAAATCTCCCACTGAGTTGATGGCTGCCACCCGCAGTGCGTTGTTTGACAACATCTTGAAAGCCTGTTTACCACTCTGACAGAAACTTTCTCCGTATATAGCTGAAACATTTTACAGTTCAAACTGTGAATTTGATACTATACAGGTGATGTTTTAAATGAGAATCTATCATTACATTATGATTATTTTTTACAATGATAATAGTTGACCAACTTAAAGTTTACTTTGGTACAGTCCACACCCAACCTGCTTACTTCCAACCTTTTTTTCTATGACGCTAGGCCTTCCGAGCTGATCTGTGCCTAACTGATTATGTTTATATCAACTAAATAGGTGTAAGTTTAAAAAGTAAAAATAATTTGTATAGAGTTGTTAGAAAATTAGTATTGTTGGTAACTATTGTTGGTACAGTATATAAATTGAGCTTTACACCTTAACTTGTATTAATATATTAATAGTTCTAAAGTTTTAAGTTACAATAACACACTTTTTTTGTCCTAGGACGGCTAGGCACGAACCTGGTATTGTTTTTCACATTACTTCAGGCTAGAACTAGGGGTTGCGGCTTAATCACTTTGATAAAATCCATTGGTGACTTGGCGGGGATCGAACCCGGGACCTCAGGGACTGAAGTCCCGCGCTCTAACCACTACGCCAGCTCGCTCCCCACAAAGCTATGTAAAGTAGTGGTATTGTGTTTTAGTCATTATGTATTATTTAATAATCTTTTTTACAAATTGTTAGTTGTTTATGTTTAGTTTTATGAATTGTTATTGTGGCAGTTGGACATTTTTGTATATTATTCAATACAATAGATTTGAATGTATAATTTGGAATAAAAATGCAAATACTGCATGCACAACCAATTTAAAAAGTCATGAACTAAAATTAAAACACTTTTATAGAAATATACAGTTAACCATAGTAATATACACTTAACCCAAAAAAAAAAACTAAATTGTACACTCAATTTCTAATAACAACAAGCGAAAAATAATAAACATGGATACCCAATATGGTAAAATTGTTCGATTAATCGCTTGTAGATAAATTCATCCACTAAAGGATCAATCAATCTGTATTGATTTAGATTGACGGATGTGAAAATATTTTATAGATATATTTTTTTCTTATGGACTGCTAGCCAATAGTCAACAGTTGCATTGAACTACAACATTGCTAAACCTTATACATATTTCCTTTAAATAAAAGCATAAGATAACACGTAAATCATAAACTGTATGTCAATTGATATTTTAAGTAGATGATATCACAGACTGTATTTATCGTAATAGTACAGTTGCTCATAAATGAATGGATATGTCATCACAAACAAAAATGCAGTAAAAGGGTGATATTGTGACAGAGGAGCGGGCCTCTAGCCCGGGACCATTTTCACATTACATCAGGCTATAGACCTAGGTATTGTGGCTTTATCACTTATATTTTATCCAATGGTGATTTGGCTGGATTTTAACCCGGGACCTCAGGACCAAAGTCTGGCGCTCTACCACTAGACCAGCTCGCTCCCCAACATATTGGAATGAACTAATGAAGCTATTTTTTAGATAGAGTAAAAAGGAGATATTAATTTATTTTATATTGAAATTCATTATTTTTAACCAGATTTTAAATTTATCTAACTACTTGGCTTACCTGATTTTTATATTTATTTTCAATGAAAATTGTTTGGGGAGCAAGCTGGCTTAAAGGTAGAGCACAGTCTTTGGTCCCTAAGGTCTCAGGTTCACGTCCCACCAAATCTAAAACTGGGACGGGTGGTGTCGTCCTGTAATCCAGCTACTGTTACGAATTGTGTATATTTATAAGCATGCACTGTGGATGCGATACTCCCTGGTGTGGATTAACGTCCGCACCAGTGAGTACTACGAATATCCGAATACAGTACTATCCTGAAAATTAGACCAATTCGTATATACCAAGGCAAAAATGTGGTTCGGATTACACTATAAACTGTAGGTCCATTAGTTGCCATTAGCTGTATGGGCTATTAATTAACAGCTGTGTCTAAGGAATAAGTCGGCCTTAGTTACTAACAAGACTACAAGATCGCGCCACTCATCTCCATTCATACTTGGCTTAAAATAGCTACTTTGTATGGTCGCCATTTCATTGAAAAGTATTAAAAAGTAGGCTATTAATCACCAATGGATTTTAAGTGATAATGCCGCAAACACTAGGTCTAGCCTGAAGTAATTTAAAAAATTATTCTTAGCTAGAGCCTAGCGTTCTAAGAAAAAAAAAACAAGCATAGCTCCCCATGTTGCAAACTGTTCTTTTGTAGATCTGACAACAAACATATGACGCACACAGTTTTGCTTGCAATTCTGCTCTCATATTGTTGTGTAAGTTAAGGGTTTTGTTTGTTACCTGATCAAGGTCCAAATATTCTGTGAATTTAAAGGTTTAATTTGAAACTAATCAAATTTACTTGTATAATAATTAGGTAGACTATTTATTTATATTTTCCGCAAATAACACATCCATAATCTTACTTACCAACTTCAATAAACGCATTGCGAGTCAGGAACGCCAAGAACTTCTCAAAGATATACAAGCAACATTGACAAGCTTTGAATATACATCTTGTCACATCATTCTGGGCATCCTTGGTTTGCGACTCGACAAACTTGAATATGATTCTAGCGAACTGAACCAGTGCGATGAGTAGTGACCCGAGAGCGACTGTGCCGAGATGATATCGGACAAGGTTGTTGAAGCTAGTGGCCAACGGAGCATTTAGGTGGTCTTTGTTCCTGTGACAAAAAAAATCCATTAATTAAAAGAAATAATTTGCAAAGCGAATTTTACAAATGTATCAAACAAATTTAAGAACCATCATCAGATAACGGATTAACCATATCGTTTCTTTTCTTTGACTTTGGTCCTTTATCCATCTTATGAAATTGATATCCATGGTATTTTTAGGCCCTGAGCTGTTGGACAAAATGTAAAATCAAATAAGCTTCACAACTTTTGTGAGAAAGCATACAAAAAATAATATTTTTTCAATGCATATTTCGATCTAAGCAGCATCTACTTGTGTCGCTCAGTTCATGATTCCAACACATAATTTTAACAGCAAAACTTAAAAAGCAGAAACCGAAGTAGAAGGAAAATTTCCAAACCGTATAATGGAATCATCCCTTTAGGCTCCTCCTTAATATTTTTGGAAATTTAGTCCTCTAAAAACAGAATTAGTTAAAACTAGTGTACCAGTGTACCTGTTGCTCGAAATCGATCAATTGTCAAGTACCGGTATTATACAGAAGTTATTTTAAAACTACAGTAATAACAGTCATAATTTTCGATGAGTTTAAAAGATCCGACTAAAAGCTTGTGTAACTAATTAAAATACTCACGCTATTTAATAGCGCTTTGAAATAATAAACACTTCTTGTAAAAATATTTTAGCATTTTTTAGACCCAGATAATTTTTTAGTGTTTTCTACAAATGTTTCCCGACTTAAAACTGTTACCAGTAAACATTTCTTGCATGTATTTATTTGATCTGACATTAGGTAGGTTTACTTTACCACTGTGACAACATGATGTGTAAATTCTTCATGGTTTTTTTTACTTCCAAAATAAGTTGCTTAGCATAAATGGCAAAAATTATTCATCTCTCCAAGTGATTGTGTACCTGGATTCCTTACTGTGAGACCAGGCCTCTCCTCTACTCTTCTGATTCGTATAAGATTTCCTATTAATTGTCTCCTCCTCCTTTTTTCAATATTTCTCCTTTAAACTCAAGAAATGTTCTGTCCTTCCAACAAAACTGATTAACAGTTTAGATTTGTCTAACCTCCTAAACAAACATCAATATATTTACTCCCAAAAGCTGGTGAGTTTCTTTTTATGTACAGCTGTTTTTGTTTTTAAATTTGTTCAATGTAATTCTTATGGGGGAAATGCGACCTTTGAGGGCGTCTCATGCCATTAAGGGTAAGAGTTTTTAAATTCTAAAACCTTAATGCAAAACTACAAATTGAGACGAATTATTTGACACCTCAAACGTTAAAATCGGTCCAGAAATAACTGAGGAGTTTTGTTCACAAAAACAGCTCTCACGTATTAATACTGTATAAGAGATTATTCACATTTTCATTCCCTGTCCTTCAAGTTTAATTTATTAGACTGCCCTCGACTGGTGGGCTTTACTGCGCCCTTTTAGGAATATTCTTCTGTACTGTGGTTGGCTTAATATCTCCACAAAATCTCAATCCTAAATAACACATATTGCTTACTAAATAAGATGCTGTACACAATTTTAGTGGAAAAACTCATTTAGTTCTATCTCCATCTTGCCTGAAATCATCCACAACATTTCGTTTATTCAAGCGACCAATACAAATGGAAGAATGACCATTTTTTCTAACATATAGTTCCCTAAATCATGTCACAGGAATATTTTTTTCACGTATACAGTTATTTTATCTACTGTAGTTCTATCTAACCTTGTGAAGAACCATGTAGCTACGCCTCCAGCAATCACCATCTGTTGGCAAGCAATGCAGAACTGAGTGTACCACAGCATGGCCAGCAGGTTGTACCATCGAGCAGTCTGGAAAACACATGGATTTACTGTAGTAGTAATTTACAGCTGATTCAATCAAAATATGAGCACACAAAACATAATCTCTTGTAGATTTATGATAATTTTTTAATGGTGTTGATAGGTCTGAAGGCGGATGTTCAGGGGGGTATAGAATACCTACCTGTCAAGGGGGCTGAGGGCCCCCCAACATCTTTGCTACCCCACTGCCCTTATGGGTTGCAGACAATTTTAAGGTTACATAGTTTTGTCCTATGTAGCGGGAATTTTATTTGTTAAGTGTTTATTTTGTTTCACAGTTGATTAACCAACTTGGAAAATATATTTTGACTTAAACAACTATAAATATTTTTTAATTATTATTACTCTGTCCCTGGTAAGTAGACCAGAGAAAAATATCTATTCTGTGTTAGCACAATGAAATGTCTCTAACATGATACACTCACCAAAACAAGCTTCAAATTAAACAATAGGACGAGACGCCTCAAAAATTATCATTGTATAGTTGAGATAAAATATGTTGAGCTATTGAAAGCATATTTGGTACAAAAGTTTGAGTTTTATTCCCAAAAAAGGTTTTAGTTTGCATATTAGTTTTATTTGCTTCAGCTGTATTTATCAGTTCCACTCTTGCTGTGGATTTTTGCATGATTATCTCCTGAACGACCTGAACTGAACAATTCTGTATCAATTCAAATATAACTTACTGTCAAGACGATTTTCAGTTACATTTTGTAAATGCTGTGTATTTTTTTACCCCTTTGCTGCTTTTATGGCCATACTGTTCAATCATTTCATATTGGAACAAATGAAGTAGCAAAAAGTATGTGATACTAATTTTGTGGCTGGATAACAACTGTCCTTACCTTCATTGCTGTGTCCTTCTTGTAGTAAAGGTTCGTTTCGCTGTCAGGAACTTTTCTGAGATATCCAGAGCTTTCGATCCACAACTCAAATATCAGCCACACAGCGATCACCACTGCCAAACTGCAGAAGGTCTGAAAGAATAATTATGTTAATAATATTTGTGAAACAATAACTTTCAACATAATGTTAAATGTGCACCTTTCCTTAAAACATAGCTTTTTTGTTACACTTTTTGAATGTTAAAATTTGAGTATGTGTGGGCCGCGGGCATCCCATTGAGGTCTGACGGCTAATGTTTGTAGATTGTAGGATGCCCGCTTCCCAACCAACCCCTAAAAACTAGAGCTAAGTGTGAGCATGCTCGGTCGGAGGAGAGCGATATTTAGTGTGCATGGAGAAATATTCTTCCCAGTTTACGTTGTGCAATCTACGCTAGTTTTTTTTTTTTTTTTTTTTTAAGGGAGAGGAGGGAAAATGCTTTTACGCACACAGGTAGCCAGCCTGTAGTGTGAGACTCCTGAATCTATCGCAGACTACTCACTAAAAAACCCCCTCTACTCTGTTGGACACAGACCTGGAATTGTTTGTCACATTACTTCAAGTCAGGCCAACATGTTACCTAAGCCCTCAGGGCTCTCACCGTTTATGGCATTTGGATACTTTAAGACCTACACCGCATCCCGGTCAAGGTCGAGCTTCTTGGCGCGGAGAATACCCTGGATGTAATGTGACACACAGGTCCAATTGTCCTCACCCTCCGTCATCATCGGTATGACCGTGTTTACCGACAGCAGTCCTACTAACTGTTGAGCCTCCAGGCGGGGCCTTTCCCAACGCTGGCAGTGGAAAAATGTATGTTCCACGTCATCGGGAATGCCTGGGCAGTATATGCAATCGGGTGACACGGCTTTGCCCATCCTGAACAGGTACGACCGGAAAAAGCCGTGACCCGTCAGAAATTGGGTGAGGTAGAAGTCCACCTCTCCGCACCGCCGATTAACCCAAGGTTGGACTTGCTTTATCAGTCGCCTGGTCCAGCGTCCCCGAGTCTCCTGTTCCCAGCTCTCTTGCCACAGCTGGTAGGTGCGGGTGCGTTCCTCTGTTCGTGCCTGGTCCTCCCCACGGCGCTGATAAATTGCTTTTCTCTCCGCCGCCAAAAGTTTGACGGGGATGACTCCAGCAACCACCAGGACGGCGGGTTCGGACACTGTTCGGTAGGCGGATGCAACTCTTAGTGCTGCCTGACGCTGCACTCGGGCAAGCCGCATCCTATATACCTCCTTATTTAGAGCGTCTGCCCACACCTCAGCACCGTACAAGAGTACGGACTGGACAGAAGACATTAACAGCCTTCTACGGCTGGACCGAGGCCCTCCGACATTGGCCATCAACCGGCTAAGAGAGGAGACCACCCTAGCGGCCTTGTCCGCCGTACGGAAAATCTGATCCCGCCAGCTAAGCTTGCTGTCCACCATAATCCCAAGGTACTTGGCAGAACGAACGGTCTGGACTTCAACGGCCCCTACCCTCAACGGCACGATGGTGTCAATCCGTTTTTTTGTTAATATCACGATCTCAGTTTTGCTCAAAGCAAGCGAGAGACCGTGGTCTGTCATCCATGCGTTTATAGTACGCATAACTCGGTTCAGCTTTAGCTGAGCCAGCTCAACGCTACGTGCAGCTATCAAAACTGCAACGTCGTCCGCGTACCCAACCAAAACAGTTTCCTCAGGCATTTCAGACCTCAGGAGGCTGTCATACGCGACATTCCAGAGGTCCGGGCCGAGTATGGAACCTTGGGCAGCACCGGAAGTGACACTCATCGTCCGTGGGCCCTCTGTAGTGTCATACAAGAGGAGGCGGAACCGGAGATAATCCTCTATGATACGCATGAGGTATGCCGGGACGTGAAAGGTGTTCTCCAGAGCATCCAGCATATCGCACCACCTCGCCGAATTAAATGCGTTTCGCACATCGAGAGTGACGAGCAGCACAACCCTTCGAGAGTAGTGGTTAAAATCCTCAGCTCTCATCACGGCTTGCTTCACCTCTTCAACAGCGTCAACCGTAGATCGCCCCATCCTAAATCCATACTGCCGAGGGGACAGGTCCCCCGCAGCGACTACGGCTGAATTCAGTCGGGAACGTATCAACTTCTCGAGGACTTTTCCAGCCGTATCCAACATACACAGAGGTCTGTAAGAGGATGGCAGGTCTGGATCTCCCTTCCCCTTCCCAACAAGCACAAGCCTAGCTGTTTTCCAGCACGAAGGGAAAACTCCTTCGACTAGGCAGGCATTGTACATGCGTAAAAGGATCAAGGGGTTAATAGTCAAAACCTTTTTGAGAACTTCGCCGGGTACCCCATCGGGTCCAGGAGCCTTATTGTTCTTCAGGGATAGGACGGCCGCCTCCACCTCTCCAAGACTGAAAAGTGGTACGTCATCCACCCTTCCGAAATCCCGCAGTGGGCGCAACGTGTGAGCCGGGAAAAGGGACTCGACTATCCTCTCCATAGTGGCCCCATCCATGACGGAAGGTGGAGAGCGGGTGCCAAGTTTCTTGGTTACCAGTTTGTAACCCAAGCCCCACGGATTGGAATCGATATCGTCCCTTAATGTCTCCCAGCAACTACGTTTACTCCGGTTGATGGCTCGACGAAGAGACCTCCTAGCCACTCTGTAAGCATCCGACTTACGACGTCTGTCTACAGGTTCTCTGGCCCTGGTAGCAAGTCTTCTGGCTCTCAAAGCTGACCGACGCAATTCCGCAATCTCGGCAGTCCACCAGTACACAGGTCGCTTATTGCACCGGGATCTTCCGCGAGGCATAGACTCATCGCAAGCGGAGACGATTAGTCCCATCATGGATGTAACTAACACCTCTGCATGAGCCACACTAGTTGCGGGGGGAACCACCGGTGTTCCTCGTAAGATGGCTTCATTGAATTTTGCCACGTCCAATTTTTTAATATTCCATCGAACGGGCACTTGACGAAACGCGGCTACTTGTCTCTGATGACCATCCAGGACATCAAAAATAATGTACTGGTGGTCACTGCCCGTGTAATCCTCCAGAACTCTCCAGGCTCTGATCCTTGGCAAAAGGGACTCAGATGCAAGGGTTATGTCTGGGATCGTTCCCCGCATCCCAGGGCGCCGGAAAGTTGGCGTGTTTCCCTCGTTGACGACAACGAGTCCGGCTCTGGCAGCAAAGTCCAGAATGTACTTGCCCCGGGAATTGGTGAGGGTCATTCCCCACTCGACAGCCCTAGCATTAAAATCCCCACCCACGACGACGTGTCCTGTGGTATTGCGCACGCTCTCTTCCAGGCGGTCTATCTTCTCACGAAATTCACGGATGGCCTCGTTGGGAGTGAGGTAGACACTAAAGTAAGTGACATCCCGGCACCGAACCCAAACGAAACCTCGGCCCTTCGCGTGACCCCGTACTTGTACTTTCGCTGCATTACGCGCCCAGAATGCAGCAGTACCAAGACTATCAGGGAACCAAAAAGATGGGTCCCTATCACGGTACTGGTACTGTTCGCTGACTAAGAGCGCGTCGACATCGTGTTCTAGGGCAAGCTGACATAGAAGTGCGTCAGCCGACCTGGATCGCTCAAGATTGCACTGAAGGATTCTTATCTTCGTGAAAGGACTTTCGCTTGCTGTAGTGCAGATTTGAATACACTACACTGTCCAGACCCAGCTATATGCTTCAAGTGTTTGTCAGCGAGCCCATTTTCTTTGCAAAGGAAACAGGACTCGACTTGGCAGTCCTTACGGACGTGACCGACCTCCCCGCACCGAAGGCAGTTCTTGCTTCGGTCGGGTCCCTTGCAGTTTCGGGAGGAATGGCCGAAACAGAGGCATTTAAAACACCTCTTCACTTCCACTCTCCGTCTGAGCCTGCAGTTGACCCAGCCGACTCTCAGATGCTGGAGTCCCAGCACTTTCGTGGCATGTGCAATCTACGCTAGTGGTATCTGCTGACTGTGAGCCATATCCTTATTTTTATGTGAGCGTGTGTTTTTCTTGTACAATAGTAGTTATTTTAAGTAGCTTTGGCATATAATAACAAAATATGGCACGTTTTAGAGTGATTTGTATAGGTGATTAGTGAGTGCATTCGTGAACAACTTCTCCAGTAGTCATGGAACATTAGAGTGTCAAGGGTGACCGGCTTCTCAAACATTGATGATGTCACTTCCTGCTGAGTTTATGTTTATATTTTTTTACTGAATATGTATTCTTTATTGAAAATAAATAAAAATTTCATACACAAAATTTTAGATCCACCAAAAAAGTTTATATTTTATTAGCAGTCAAATTGTTAAAAGCCTATCAAGCACAGCTGAGTCAATTTTGAAACCATCACAATACTACTGACTTTTGCAGGATCGAGCCAGCAGCCTCTGATTTGGTAAAAATGGCCAATGAAAGTATAGGTACAGAATTTGTCACACTCGCTATCAACTTTCCTCAGCCGTAGAATAAACAGTGGTGTGTATTTAGTAGAGTTTATTTAAGTAATATAAAAGTTATAAAGTTAAAGTTGTAAGTGTATGACAACATTCATAGTATGAAAAGTTTCCAATGTTGGATACGCACCATGATAGGTGTGGTGAGGACCACTGGCATTGCACTGACTGCTTTACCGGCTTCATGGAACAGCTGTACAACCAGCTGTATGCGCTTCCTCATCACCCACACTAGGAGCAGAATGATCACCTGTAGAACAAATAAGTTTTGTCATTGACATTTGGATACTGAAGTAGACATCCTTGCATGGATCAGCTGTTATGTTTCTCAGCTTACTGTAAGAATTGAAAAACTAAATTCATGAGAGGCTTACTTCTGAGAGTAACATTAAAATAAATAGATTCTTTAATAGACATGTTTACAAGTTGAAAGTTAATATTTTTGTATTATTTTATTCTGTTATTCTGAGTAAAAGATAGATTCAATACTTACCGATATTATTGTAGAGATGATTGCATAGTAAAAGTAGCTGCTCTCTTTTCTTTGCTCAACTTCAGATCCATAAATTGAATTGTGCTTCTGTCTCCACATAACCCTGAAAAATGTATCATTTTAAATTGAATCGCTGCCTAAAAAATTCATATTCCTTAATTGTGCAATAATAAAGCTTTCAAACAGCAAAGAAAACTGTGAGAGTTCACTTTTGGGCCTTTGGGAGTAACTCTAGATAATGCTGGCTTCAAAAAAATACTCAGCTTGCTTAAAGTGTTGCTCTAAATGTGTTTAAAATTCAAAAATCTAAATGTTTGAAAATTAATTAAATTGTGAAGAATAAGGAACACAGAAAAGTAAAATACAGAGGAAACTTGAACGTGGGATGACTGTGTGCTTTTAGCTCTAATATGCTGAGTCAGAAATATACTTGTAATAAGCAAGGAAGAGCCCATAAGTAGTGAGCACTGTGCGGAAATTCGTATCCCATAGGGCCAGGGTCTTCCTCCACTGTGAGCATTGTAGTACGTGATGGCGAGGGGGTGGTGTTGCCCTAGACACCAGCGACTAGTGCTACAGACCACTTAAGTGTACCATTGAATGTTTTCTCCTTACTTCAATTATCAATTATAGTTTGAGATGGGGACGCCACCTAGGTGCATATTATAACCCAAAGATGAGTGTACAGTAGAATGGTGTGAGATTTGTTACTGACTATGATCAACTGTTTCATTACCAAGGATAATTTATTTAAAGTCCAATGATCAGGAACAGCTGTGTCCAGTTTCGAATCATCAAAAAGCTTTTGACTTTTCTCAGGATTGATCTGGCAACCTTTTGATTCTTAGGCGAGCACTATAACCATGCATCTATTCAGCCTATGGTAGGAATTTTTTGATGCACAATTGTTACCGTATTCATCTTACCATAAATAAATGGTTCCAGCAATACTAGTGACAACCGCAGCAGCAAGAACGAACCAGACGACAAAGCCAGCGACGTAACGGAACAAGAAGAGAAGAATGAAAGACATCACTGAAACAAATATCAATTCATACAATAAAAAAAGTCATCAGAGCAAATCAATAAATAATTACATGTTAAGAATTTCTAGGTAGTTTAAAGACTGAGAAAGTACCAAGTTATATACTACAGAGGCTTTTAGTTGTTAACATCATCTATCACTTTGTGCTCCATAAGTCTTGCAAGTTTTTTCTTTGTAAAGCTCGATTGCAAAGGGCAAGGTTACCCAAGTAGCAGAAAAACGAGAAAAAAATTGTTTTGCTATCAATTTTAAACTTATATTAAACTGTTATTAATATGAGTATAGTTGACAACAGGCACATTTTAAAATATTTCAAAAATTGTTTTACATCTATATTGCAACAACTTTAAAACAATTTTAAAATTGACTTTACAATAGGCTAATTTAAAAATTGTTTTCACATAGGACCAACCATCCCATGGGGATATCCTACATAAACACAAAATAATAAAGATTTTGTATGAAATTGATATTTATCAGTTGAGTATTTTGATGAAATAGTTCTTTAAAGCAAATTTTGATAAAAAAAACTAGAAAAATAATATCTTCACCCGTCGGGTCTTGAACCTGAGACCTCCAGTTAATGAACTGCTCACCTAACCTCTGAGCTATCTGTGATTGTTGATATTAGATGTTTTCAATCGGTCAAAGAGGAGCCGACAGTTGCAATGGTTGCAATACTTGAAATATTTTGGATACCAACTATGATTAGGTATGTTTAGGCATCAAGTTGTTGAATTGTTTTTCTTTAACTACCTACTCCAAAATAAAGCTCGCATTCTAAGCTACAGGCTGGGAACGATTTTAACGTCCCGCATTAATGGCTGAACTCACACTGACTGTTCAAAGTTAAATCATGGGAACGGCCGATTACGACCGCGCAGCACCTGGCGCACAGCCGGCACCGGCCGATTTCGAACGTTCAGCAGAAAACGTGTTAAAAAGATTTTAATGCCCAGGAACTGTGTACCAAGTTTTGAAGCTCTATCTTTATTAGTTTTTTGAAAGATTTAACCGTACCGGGACTTTTTTCCACCCTGAATATACACTGAAGGTATATTCCCTGTGACTTCATCTGGTAGAAAAATTTAAATTAACACGTTTAATAGCTATAATAATGGTGTGTTGTTTTTCCACATTAGTAGTCTAACAGTTGAAGTACTTCCTCCCTTACACCCTTAGACAAAACAAGTTATGCGTTGCTTTGTGTGGGGAGAGTTAAAAATGCATTTACGCACACTGAGATGTTCAATCTCATTAATGCTGGGACTCCCGCGGGCTCATTGTCCCCAGACCACCGGCTGAAAAACTACTTGATTTCCTAAGAACACTACCCTGCAACTGTTTAGCTAGCACATTACTTCTGGCTAGGCCTTTTTTTAGGAGTTATGAGTAGAAAAATAATTTAAACATGAATAGAGCTCACCAAATGCTATTAGACACAAGTAAAGAATTTCTTTCCAGCATAGGTGCAGATCTTCAGATACTTCCTGAAAAAGTAAATACGATTTGAATTTTTAGTTGTTAAACGACCTTAACAGCCAGCATTTCAGCTAGAATTCTCGGTGTAGTCTTGAAACACAATCTTAAAATATATGTAATACTGTACTCAAACAGCCAAATATAATGTAATATGTGGGGCTTTATGTACATCTTAATTAAGATGCACCTATAGTTACAGGAATACTACTCTATAGTAGTTACATTTGGTAGAAACTATAAAAATCATTATATAGTGATTAATTAATTAATGGCTGAATGTATGGTGTTAGTACGAACGGTAAAAACTAGAGATTACTGTAAATTTATACTGTAGGTACACCAAAACAAAATAAAATATACTGTATTGAAATATAAGTTAGTTTAAAGTCTTAAAAAGATTATAAGTAAATTATACTAATTACAAGATTAGTCTCATCTAAACCCCAAAATCTTTTTGTAAAATTATTTATTTCCTCACCTGGAAGAAATCAGTGACTCCACTTTTGGAGAAAAATTGTTTTATGCCCGTGTCATTCTTGTTAGGGATGCAGCGGTTGAAGACTTTTACACTGAAAAATATCATTCAAATTCAGCTAGCTTGAAATATATTTCTTCAAATAGACCTCCTAGAGATAGATTCTTTCTATAAGACGCTTTTATACTGTGAAGGGCAGTCTCATTCTAGTGGCGATGTCAAGCGGTCATATAATGACATTGCGTTAGCAATGTTACATTGTCTTTAGATCATAGAAACAGTAGTAGTGTACAGTAGCATACAGATGCTGTGGTTTAAAAAAATTACAGTTAAAATAAAATGGAAAAAATGCATTAAATAAAGATTACTTACTATCCAGGTTCCACTTGGCAGTTTTCCACACACTTCCTGACGGTGTGTTTTGGATCAACCAACGCTTTCACAGGTCCACTTATCTGAACAAACCTGAAACGATTAACAAACTTTAATAGAGCACAGTTGTTTAGTATTAACTTATCTGCTAACCAGTTTCTTTTCATTTTATTTGACAATCAACAATTGATCTATCATTTAAATTGATCAATATCTAAGAACCTAATCATCTGATAAATACTTACGCAAGAAGAAAAGTACTGTTGTACAGATCAGGTTTCATCATGCCAAAATCTTCTAAAGTTTGAAAATGTTCATTTTATATTAAAAATTCAAAAACTATTAATACCTATAATACAAGTATTATACTGTGACAATTCCCAGCCATAAAAAAGTCTTAAAAACTTTAGCGCTGCCAATTCGGATAACAGCCTTTAATTTAATTCAGGTCTTAATAAAGATCAAGGTTTAATAAAAACTAACATATAGTTGGAAAATAAGGCGATCATCAATTCTAATCACTCCTGTAACCAATTCACTTTTTCCAACTATCATTGATTTTTCATTATTCTCCATTGACAGATTAATAATGCAATTTCTGAATCAATTTCCCATTGTAATAAAACATGTTACTGGCTTTAGTTTGTCACAAATTAAAATCAAGTTTAACTTACTAAAAATATCTTTCAAGACATTCATATTACCAAAGTAGATTAAACACATCCGTTAGTAGATTTTTTTATCTGGAGCTGAAGACAATTTTATTGTTAGTTCCGCCCGGTGTTGTTTGTTAATGTTTTGTTTACAATTTATTTTTTGTTACCTATTTCAGTTATTTAAAACCTTATTTAGCCAAATTAAGCGATCTAATCAAACAATAGCTCATCCTCTAGTTATATAACTAAACAGTAAACCACAAATCATGAAACTAACCCTGAAATAATAGAAACAAAATTTCATCAACACTAGTGCCCAGTGTCGCCAACATGAGCCAGACATAAAAAAACAAGCTTCAGGTTTTACAAAGGGTGAAGTCTACTTTTGTTGGTTATCTATGATATTACTATCAGTGGTTTAAATTCATAGACTAGCCACTTACTTTTTATCCGTCATATCTTTCCCAAAGCACTGCAAGGCAGGGTCGGATAGGGGAGGGTTTTGTCTTCCGCAGATGTTCCCGCAGTTGTCGTAGCCATTGATTATCCTGTATACTTCACCATTAGCGACACAATAACCTACAAGAGCAAACTGAAACAAACAATTTGAATTAAGTGTTTAAGGATATAAAAACTATTTTAGGAGCCAAAAGTTTCAAAATACAGTAGACTTTCCCTTATCCGGGACTCCTCAGGACCGAGGCCAGTCCGGATATCGGTTTTCAGGTTAAGCCGATGTCCCCAAATCCCGTTGAAACGGACTGTTTACTGTGATATTCAACTTAAATTTAGGAGAGCATTGTATTTAGACATGTGATCACTGGTCTTAAATCTTTCACACAAGAACAGTTGTTTCAGTATCGCTCACGTCCTGCCGATCTAGTCCGGTTGGTTAAACCAATGTGCTGATAAAAATTGTCCGGATAAGAGGGAGTCTACTGTAAAACTATCACAACAAACTATGACAGGAAAAATTCTAAACTTGAATCTTCTAAGGCAGTGTTTCCCAACCAGTGTGCCGTGGCACACTGGTGTGCCGGGAGGCCTCTGTAGGTGTGCCGCGAAATTTTAAGTAGTTAAAATATTTTTGATCAAGAAAGAAACTTTTAATGAGCAAACGTCGAGCACAAATTTCCCACTAGAACTGAAACCAGGGTTTATTAAATATTTCTCACTCATTATTGGTAAATTCATACAACATTTTAATCAAGCTCAATGTTTTATTATTATTTAAAACTTTCCACTTAATAAACACTAAATAATGTACACATGTTAGATAACAAATGTGAGTTTTATATTTTTTAACTTATATATATATATACTGGTAAAAAATAGGTTTTACGGAGTAAGATCTAATCGGAAAAAAGAGTTTTTTATGCACTTACTAAATGTAATTTTAACCAACGATATTTTGTAGACAAGTGTGCCGTGACTACAAACTTGTTTTAGTTAGTGTGCCCTGAACGGAAAAAGGTTGGGAAACACTGTTCTAAGGTATTTGGTAAATTGTAGATTTGTCTAAAATAAATAAAATATAAATGAATATAATTCTTTAAGTAAATCTGTTCTACTCATTTTATCTGTAAAAATCATTTTATTCATTAATTATCTTCTACTATTTCATTTGGCCATCTAAATACCTTTGATTAGCACTTTTCACGGAATTGTTTAACAATTTGGCTGTTCATTGAGAAAAAGTTTAATAAGTCCTACCTGGTTTTAGAGTATAATAATTTACTCACAAGTCCAATTGTAAAAACGATGATGAAAAACAAGAAGAACGTGTCCGTACAGTGCCTCTGCGATGCTTTGGTTGGCCCATCAAACTCATCCTTCTTGAAGGTACCTTCCATCTAAAAAAAAAATAGGAAGGGATAAAAATTATTAATATTATATTTATCCGAAGGATAGTTTCACGTATTTGATATTATCTGAGTAAATACAAGTCATCCATGAGAAAATATAATCAATACCCTATGTCAATACATCAACTTATCCTCATCAGCACAGGGATAACTTTTTTTATCCCTGAGAGCTTCAACTATTGATACAATTATTGACTGTTGTTGACTGAAGTAGACATCCCATCTATATGCACCAGCCAAATTTTTATTAAAAAGGAACGCAGTTGTGTGCCAGACAGAATGTGCTAGTGTCTAAAATTATATTTTCTACCTTAGTTAGAGGATGAGTGCTTCCTCTGTAGTTTGTGATGAATAGTAGTCTTTGGTCAGAGCTTCATCGGAAGACAACCACTTGACTGGATGGTTTGATTATCTTTACTGTAGTTGTTGAATTGTGGGTCTGGTTAATGGCAGCACTGCCTGTTGGTTTGACAGCAGCCGGTTGGTAGGATGAGTAATATCATTATCAGTAGGATGGATAACAGCACGGTTAAAAATAAATGTCAACGCAAAGGTTAATATTGTGAATTTTCTCATGCTTCCATAGAGACCAATTAATATTTACTTTTGAAAACCTCTCCTCAAAACTTTGGACATCCAAGGGGCGTAGCCCGAGAGGAACTCAGGGAAGTGAATAGGCCTATGACATTCCTAGATATGTGGACCATCTTTGTGCTTAATTTTGGCTGTTTCGGTTTAGTATTTTGTTTGTGACAGCTGCCCAGACAGACAGACATCACCTCAATTTTATAATATTGTAGGTATAAACACAACGGTATTTTATTGGAAAAATCACATTTACCTAATCCATATATTTATATAATAAATCGGTATAGTTTGTATGATACGAAAAATTAGATTCTTACCTCTTCGCCAGCTACTGGCTCCACTTTATCCTGACTAAAGCAGGACCCCATAGCATCCTGAAAAAATTGTGTGATTTACAATTTGTTCCATTTCAAAGAGGACGAAACTTTAAAAAAGCTACACTAGGTCAAATCCATAAATTTAAGGGCAAACATATAACTGTATGTCTAAAAATAAAATAGTAGGCCTACTACAAAAATTAGAAGTCATTGAGACTAAGACAAAAATACAAAAGGCACAAATGAACAAATGTGGTACCTATAATGTATTTGGATTATGTTTATATGACACTGACTCACTGAAGTGATCAATGAATTTCATAACAGTTTTGTTACTGACTCTTTGTAGTGATGAATGAATTCCATGACCGGTTTGTTACTGACCAAGATCAACTGGTTAGTAGTTATTTGCCGGGACTAACTGAATGACCAGAACAGCTATATAGTTTCTACACTTTTACTTTACAGATTAGATGGCCCTGACGGACCACCATGCGTTTCGGCTGTAACCTTGACATTAAGACATTATGGTCCTTATGTGACCTTGAATGTCTACACTACAGGTCTGGTCTGGTACTCTACTGTACAATATTCTGTAGTCACGTGATGTCTGACGTCACGGCTTGCTCAGGCATGACAAGACATGCTCGAACACGTAATCGTCCTCCGTGTGAGTTGTACCGGTTGTGCGCCATTTCCGGGTCATTAATAATATGTGGATTGACCAACAAAGGACCATTAGACGATGTCCCCGCCTCTATACAACTCACTATACTCCCAGCATCGATCCTGCATTAGGGAATTTAGATTATCTGTGACGCGCATAGACTACATCAATACTATAACTAATAATTATTGTCCATTTGAAATTTTTTATTCATGTCTTTCGTCATATCGGCTACTTCCCATAAACATCTGTTTTAGTTCTATAAATAATCTGTCAATTTGTCTATTATTGAGATAACACACTAGAAATAGTCATTTGTGTAACTATAGTGGGCAAAGATTGCACTCGCGTTACACATTATATTTTTCTTGCAGAGTCTTTCAAACACTGCACAACACGTTTTTTTAGGTTAGGTTAAATACAAACATTGAAGGAAATGGGATACGTTGCACCAGCTGATCGTTAATATCTTTAAGTGTTGCCAACTTATTTTCAAGCGTACACGGATTTACGTGCATAATAAAACCACGCTGTTTTGTGTTGTTTGGTTGGAATAGTGGTGTGTGCCAAGGTAAAAACTGTGCGCAAAAGTAATTCTTTCTGTACTATAATCTCTGCAAGGAAGCCCACTTTGTCGGGTGACTTAGAAAGAGAATTTGTGAGTTCTTTTTGTAAATTAACCTTGAGTTGTTACATTAAAAGTGTTGGTGAAAATATGATGAGTAGCATACTAATAAGAATATTGACAACGTTGTTGTACTTAATCTCTTAGATTTATTTACCTGCTTTAAATAAGTCATTACTTATGCTATTACCACTTCAAAATTCCATAACAGTATATGCACAATATATGATTTTCTGAATAACATTTTTGAGGATGAATTTATAGCTCTAAAACGAATCCTATTTGTAAAGTGATATTTTAATTACAACTATACATTATAAAATTTATCACAATTTATCATCTCCTAAACAATTATTAGTTTAATTAGTCTTTTCCTATTTACTTTTTCATCGGCAGAAAGATTTTCTGCTGTCAGAGCACGAGACCTTAATCTGTAAAACACTGTATATGGAGAAAATCTGTAAAACACTCTTACATTTCTGTAGATATGCCGGGAATCGGATATTTCCCTCTTATGGCTAACTCAGAGATAATAATTAATCAAACAACTTCAACTTTATCCAAGAAATTGATACCAGTTTGTTTATCTGTTTGTCAGTAAAGAGGAAGAAGTATGTCGTGACGAAGTTAATTAAGTTTACTACGGCTGCAATTACATCTCGAAATGCTCACTGTAACAACAGTTAACAGCATAAGTTTTCATTGTTGCAGCTGCACGTGGGAATGTGGGATTTTGGTCCCTGGCGTCGTCTGCTACAGTCAACAGCTGCTTTAGTCGCTCCAAGTCATTATGGGATTTTACAGCGCGTAGCGAGATGACGTTAACGTTAACTTTTGGCTTTTATGACTAACCAACACTAGTCAGCGTGTAGAGAGTTGATAAGGAACGAGATCATTGAACTGATATCAAGACTGATATGGGTCAGCTTACTCACATTTCAGAGCAAATCGGCGTTTAAGACATGCCTTTGGTAATTAAAGCGTTTAGATATTTATTAATACATTACAACACCAGAGCCATCTAGAAAAGGATCTAAAATTCTAAAACAATTCAAATGACGCTCACGTCAGCTAAGAGATTAATATTTTTTATATTCAACACATTTTACACTTTTGTAATACTTTCTACAGTTAAGTGTAAATTTTTAACCTTTTAGCGAGCGCCATACAATCAGTTCTTCAACTTTATCTGCAAATGTACTTGTTTATTAACAAAATTTATAGTCGTTAATCTTACTAGTGAAGTTTTTGAAACATGATGAATTACACTTACACTCAAGACAAACGTATCCCGTAATCGAAATACACATAGGCATTTTATTACATTTTTACCAGGCTCTATCCTAGGATTTTTTACATTACTCCAGGCTCTCCTACACTCATCTTCATTCATACTTGGCTTAAAATGCATACTTTGTGTGGTCGCCATTTAATTGAAAAGTATTAACAGTATTAAAGTATTTAAGGCTAGGCATAAATGTTGGGGAATCATCACTTAGATCAAATCAATTGATGATTCGGTGGCTTTGAACCTTGGACCTTCGAGAGCGAAGTCCCTTGCTCTACTATATAGACAAGCTCGCATCCCAATTATTGTAAAATAATGGGCTCAGTAATTAAAATAAAACTCGTCTAATTACCTTAGTTTAGTTCAACCCAAAATTAAATAATATTTGTTGTTCATATAGTTAAGGTGTCACAGTATGAGGAAATGCTTGAAATATATACTAGCTGCTGTACCCGTGCTTCGCAACGGGAAGATGTACTATTGCCCCTAATCCAAACACTCGTTAAGTAGATCGAATTCAAACAAAAACCCACCAAACTTGTACAAAAAAGTATGACCTACATTGTAATAAAATTGTCCTACTGTTTGCATTAAAATATATCAATAACATAATTTTCATGACTTACGGTTATAGGATCTTTCTTTATATTCCACATCTTTCTTTATTCCTTAATAACATCAATAAACCTAGGTACCACAAATTTGTGTAAAATATTTATTTTATTTGTTTGGATCAGCTGTCTGAAATTGTAAAAACAAGTTCTGACTGTTTCCATTGAAATTTCAAAGCAAAGTTAAACAAAGTTTGTGAATTTTCTCATGCTTCCATGGAGACCAATTATTATTAACTTTTGAAAACATCACCTCAAAACGTTGGACTTCCAAGGGGCGTAGTCCGAGAGGAACTCAGGGAAGTGAATAGTCCTGCGACTTTCCTAGGTATGTGGACAATCTTTGTGCTTAATTTGGGCTGTGTCGGTTTGGGTTTAGTATAGTATATATATATATATAGAAGATATAGATACTACCGTAAGTAAATGCAACAATCACTACATACCATCACAGCGATTTCCCCAGACAAATCCGAAGGATAAAACGCGTCTGCCACAACAAGAAGTAACCAAGGAAAGTCACGACTAAGACTAAGACCACAGGTCAGTTACCTCCAATCAGATCGTTGGTAACGCGAAAACATGGTAACGTTGACAAAGCTTAGATCATATCGACCACGCCCGGGTCAAACTCGCGTGCTCAACTGCACGAAGATTTTAATTTTTAATTGCTCTTATTTTTGTCTGAGTTAACCCACGATAACTTATCAACTAATTAGCACCACATAGGGCAAAACGAGTACAGGAATTATTTGAATCGGGGTTTTCGTTGGATATTAGATTTTGGCTATACAATACAGACGCCCTAAGGTGAGGCGAATTTGAGCTAAAGGTGAACTTGTACACTTGTACGTATAGTGTTCCTAGAATAATATAAACAGTTCGTTCAAACAAAATCAACCATCTTAAATATTTCGTTACTGTTCTGGTACAATCAATGTCCCAACCGCAGCAAACCTGCAGACTAGGCAAATTTTCATTCTTCTGATTGTACTTTTACCAAGACAACTTTTTGGATTTTTTGATTAGGTTTTTCCCAGATTTATTCCCCATTTTAATAACATTGGAATTAATTAGTTTTGTTATAGGTTTCTTAGGGAAGACAATTTTGTTTTAGCATAGTGTCAATTGTATACAATAAAATAAATAAATTTGCCAGATTTTATTTAAATACATTCATTAACAAGCAAACTACTGTACTACAACAGTTTACGTGGTCGGTCAGGGGGCTTGGTCTTACCATGTCACGTACGGTAATAGCTACTACAATATGCTGTAGGGGAAATTCGCTAAAAGCGACAATTTAGTGTACTATATTTAATTATATCCCTATTGGTTACATGGTTGGCGAAAGCAACGCAGGTCATTGTCCTTATCATACCCTTAAGGAGAATTCCGGTCGATTATGAATATAACTTTTAAAATTTTACCTGTTTATTGTATTCATTCTACTAATTAAGCTTTTAAAATGCAATCCTACAAATTTGGTGTTAGCCTTAAAGTACCAAACCTCACTTGTTGAGTCTAAATGTAATTTACATTGGTCAAGACACAATCCGTTAATTTAATTATTTCTGAATAAAAACTTAGTAAAGCGATTGACAGCCAGCATTGGCCAGCAAAGGATAGATATGTTCAGTTTTTAAGCACCAAAGCGTTATATGAAATTAATTCACAGTCTGTATGTTTGTTGTGACGGGTGTGTTCTTCTGATAATTTTAACACGGTAAACCCCGATATTATTTACATGGTTGCATGGTGTATATTATGTATTCTATTACGCAGCTAGAGGGAGACGAATACTTGAATGGTTGAGGTAGAGGAGAGACAAAATCAATACTGGACCAGCGCCACAGCTTCTGTATT